TTGTTCCAATGTCTGGTATCCACACATGATCTTCTGGGCTCCACCAAAGTGCTTTGGTCACATCTCCAGCTCTGCCCTCTGTAGCACTCTAGGCTCAGGCCAACTCCACTCTACTGCTGCTGCTGTTCTTGGTGATCATCTCATGTTACTGGCATCTCCAATACGCTAGGGACTTCCACTGCAACTAGGCTTCACCAGTAGCCTCTCATAGGCTCCTTTCATGGTGCCAAGCCTCAACTCCTTTGCATGACCCCTTCAGTCCTGGGATGTCAACTACAACTGAGGCTGTACCTTCACCAATGGCCTTCCAGGGCCTCTCACAATGATGCCTTCATGCCTTCAAAACAAGTACCACCTGGGTGATTCTTACCAATTAGCAAGTCCAGCTGCAACACAAGGTACATCTTTGGCTATCTCTGGAACACAGCTTCTTTATGCTATCAGAAAACAATTTCCAGAAAATTTCACTTCATTGATGCTGGTTTCTTCTTAATCGCCACTAAATGTCTAGCTCCAGCTAACTAGCGTTAATTGTCCAAGTAACTCCTTCTATTCTTGTCTCTAAAGCTAGTGCTCACGGTCAAAGCCAATGAGTTCTGCAGCTTCCTGGGGCTAGAACTATGTCCCCTCCCCTTTTCCTATTATGTCATCCCAGCTCTCTGTTTTCCAATTCCTTCATTGCTTAAGCTTGGCTGTCCTAGAACTTGCTCTGTAGACTGACCTTGAACTCAGAGATCTACATGCCTCTGTCTTCTGAATTCTGGGACTGAAGGTGTGTACCACCATGCCTGGACAAGATCTGGATTGTAGTTCCTTTCAGATATAGTCAAGTTGACAAACAAGAATATCCATTACAATCCATCCCTTGTCAATTTGACACATAACCATATCTCCATATTTCCAAATGAAAGCAAAATCCAAATCATAATAGTGCTTAAGTACAACTATTCCTTGTTCAAAGGTGAACAAACAATAAGCTTAGCTGGATGGAATCTTCCCCTGAGGTCACCACTCCATGAATCTGTTTATCTCCTTGAACACTGGATTCAGCTCCATTCTACTTCCTGTGGCCCCTTTAATACTTGGTCCATACACTTTATATTTAACCTTTCCCTTCTTGATTGTTTTCATCATAAGGTTCTTCATAAGAGGGAGCTTCAGTAACCACACAACACAATTTATACCAGGCTGTTTTGAGATTTCCTTTACTAATGCAATTAATCTAAATCTCTTCATCTTAGCCTCAGGCAAACTCTTTGGACAATGGAAAAAAGCAGTCACATTCTTCACCAAAATACCATAAAAAAAAAGTCTCTGCCACCTACTAACATTCTTCTCCTCTGAAACCTCTTGAGCCAGATTCCCATGGTTCAAATCTCCCTCTTGCATATTCCTACTAAGATTGCCCAGTAAGTCCCACTAAAAGCATTCCACTACTTTCCAAATCCAAAATTCCAAAACCCATATTCCTTCAAACAAAATCATGGTTAGGTCTATCATAGCAAGACCACAGTCCCTGGTACCAACTTCTAAGTGCTTTTACCTGTTGAACCATGTTGTTGACCTGAGCAGCTATTTTTAAGTTGATGAAGAAAAAAGAAAAACAAACTTTCTAACAAGCCTTAGGTAGTCAGTCACTCAAAGGTTATTTTTCTTATAACATGATGTGACAGGACTCATTCACTCTAAAGGCCCGGCCCTCTTTCTGTCTTTGACCTTCTCCCACAGCCTTTACAATATATGCCTGTCAGCCTGCACCATCCTTTCCTGGCTGTCCTCTATTTCTCCGTGTGTCTCATTCACTCAGTAGGTGTATACTGTACCTGAAACCGAGCACTGAGGAACAAGGGTGCTTGTCTTTTGTTTGCTGCTGTACTGATGCCTAACACACACCCACACATAAGAGACTCTTAGAATGCAAATAAAATCAGTGAACAAATGAATTAAATGTATCTTTTTGATGAGATTTCTCAATCTTATAAAATATATAGCATTTCTAGATTTTTGTAGAGCTCTACTCAAATGAAGCTTGCATTTCATTTAGGAAATTAAACATTTTAACTTCCATTTGATAAGTGTCATCAGCAATTCTGAAGTTATGAGCATCTCATTTGGGTAAGTTTAGAAATAAAATTTTGGGTCAGACATCATATATATTTGAAACACTCTTCCAACCTGCCTTTTAGGAATGCAGATAGCAAGTTACACACCCACCTTTAAGCAGGAGTCTCTAACTTTCCACTTACAACAATGTCTTCACCATCTATTTTCTCTTTAAAATTCTAAGTTTTTTTCCAGTAAATGTTCCAAAGCAGGTCAATATAAGAGGTAAAGTAGTATTTAAGTACTTTTCCACTTAGCAATTTCACATTACCTGAGCTGGATCAATCACAAAATCATTTACATACCTATGAATTAAAACTTGGAGTAATAAAAGGAGATTGCTTTATAATGTGATACACCTCATTTAATAATTTCTTCATTAAGTGGTTCTAATGTGTTTTTATTGGTTACACAACATTTAATGGAATACAGCATACTGATTGCAAATACACTCTTTCCCTGTTTAATTTGGACTGACGAGGATGAGTTTTATCTTTCTTAAATATATGCACTCTAAGAAAAGGCTTCCTTTGTAATTAAGACAAAACCCTTCCATATCTGTTAAAGTTCTAAAGCCATTTAAAGTAAATACATGACAATAAGATGCTGAGTCAAGATACATATTTTATAAATCTGTGAATCTTATGATTATTCATATGTTTATCAACTTCTGTTCTTTATTTTTTATTTATACACATAAAAAGCCAAGAAATTAATTTTAAGTTGTGATTTTATTAAGCGTTTAGAAACATAATAATATATTTTCTTTAGTTCTATAAAGTAAACTCCTCGAAATAATATCATAACAAATAACACACATGTATAACACACTCTAAAACTCAAATAGTCTTACACTTTCATTTTTATTTATAGCATAGTACTGTAAAATAATTTGATATATAATGAGTTTTAGATTTAACATGAAAATTTCTTTCTAGAGATATATAAGTAAAACAAAGGTCTAGGGAGGTGACTTTGCAGTTAAGAGCATTTTCTGCTCTCGAGGAGGACCTGGGTTCAAGTCCCAGCACCCACATCCATTGGCTCACAACTGCATGTAACTCTAGCCCCAGGGAACCCGATGTCATTCTCTGGCCTCTACAGGTACCAGGCATGTGACCGGTGGACATAGTTATATGGAGGCACTTATGAATACATATAAAACAAGAATAAATATTTTAAAATTAATAAAGAAAACTACCAATGGCTAAATAGCAAGCAGAGTAAACTTTTTTGCTACTTTATTTCTAACAAGCCGGGTGATATGAAAGGACACCATTCATAAGACAAGCACCAACAACACACAAACTGAACTAGTCTCACTGAACTTCACTGTAAAATAGTTATTCTTTCTTGAAAGGGAACAAATACATTTGTATCTGGCAAAATTTAAAACTATTAACTCAAGCAGAAATGTGGTGTTTACAACAGAAAACTCATGATCATGATGACATACATAGATAGATAGATAGATAGATAGATAGATAGATAGATAGATAGATAGATAGATGATAGATACACACACACATATCAAAAGAAACAAAGAATCTTTTGTCATTCTAATCAATTTGGAAGCGTCAACACTCACAGATAAGATTTTAAGATTGATTTAGATCTGAAAGTTGACAATGTAAGAGTAGTACAATAGCTCAGAAGGAAGGAAGGAAGGAAGGAAGGAAGGAAGGAAGGAAGGAAGGAAGGAAGGAAGGAGAGATGGACAGAAGGAAGGAAAGAAAAATGAAGGAAGAAAAAGGAAAGAAGGACAGACAGATGAAAGGAAGAAAGGACAGACAGACAGAAGGAAGGAAGAGAGAGCAAGAGATAAAGAACACTTACATTTCAACTTAAAGTATAATTGAGTCATTCTATCACTTATTTGACAGTTTATCATCTTCTATTTTAGTTTCGCACTAAAAACTCTAGAAAAAGAAAGTTTCTTAAGGTTGCTTCACCATTTTCCTTCATGTTATCCAAAGATCCAGTATAAATTGCTCACATCATGACAAAACATTTCCTGCTGTTCCTGTCGTCTGCCTGGCTTTGAGATTGTGTGTGTGTGTGTGTGTGTGTGTGTGTGTGTGTGTGTGTGTGTGTGTGTATACTAACTGACTTAGTGCCAGACCAGTGGCTTCTCTTGCTGCTCTGACCTAACCCTGACAAGAAGTTTGAGGGAAAAGTAGGCTTCTTAGTCTCGTGGATCGGAGGATGCAGCCCTCGATGGCAGAGAAGACAGTTATAAGACCACACCCTGTCAACTGCCCATGGAGACCCTTTGTTGTTGTCTCCGTGGACCCATACTCTGCTAGCATTCTCCTTTTGCATTTTCATTTATTCTGTCACCTCGGCCCATCAGATGCCATCATCCTCATTCAGGGCTAGCCTCCGGCCTCAGTAATCCTGCCTGAGAACACTCACAGGAACGCCTCCAGCTCTACTTTCCCAGTGCCTTGGGCATTTCACAATCCAGTAAACTGACAAAGCTGACCACTAGGACTGTTCTCTTGATATCTGAAAATATTACATAAGTTATATAAGTAACATAAGTAGCTTATGTAACTGGGGTATGTTTCTTCTACTATACTAATTTCTCCAAATGAGGGGAAAGTACTTTTCTCCTTTAATCACTTTTAATATGTTAAGAGTTCTGAGTTTTTCCCAAATAGAATGCCAGATGAATATATTATCTTAGATAAAACAGATAAAATGTCTTTGGAATAATTAGGAAAGTAACACCTTGGCAAATTTTTACATTTGGAAATCAAAAGTCTTCCACTTTTCGCTATTCCCTGTTTATCTTTGGGGGGCAAACCTATGCACTTGTATGGCTATCAGTGTGAATATGCTGAGATCATCTGTTCATATGACTTCCCACAGCCTCAAAGAGCAGGGAGCCTTACCTGGACCGTCAGCAATTTTTCCCAGGCACCGAGGAGCTGCACTCAGGAAAGAGGAATGCCTTTTTGCAGCCACCAAACTACGAGGTGGCATGTACCTATGTTTAATTTGGGTCATTTCATATGATTTCTGAACATTATAGCGGCCAGGAGCTGGAAGACTCTAGGAAAAAAAATGTAAAGGATAACCATAAGCATACCGTATATAAAAGATATCCAGGTACATATTGGACAAATTCCACACTTCAAAAAGCACTCGTTAAAAATACATAAAAATACTTAAAAGCCAAAATTGTAATGGAGACTCCACCAAAGCTATTAGAATACAATTATAATTCATTATCCAAAATTAAGGAAAACAGAATCAGGAAATGTAAGGTTAGAATATTTTAAAGAGTAGGACTCACGACATTGGTCAGATGCTCACCTACAGCTTTAATGATGAATACTGAATTGTATACAGGGCTCCGAACAATGAGCATGTGTTTTCACCAGCTGCAAAGCTGTCCCTGCCTCGCTGCTCTGACTTACTCTACAAAATGAGGCTGATTCCTTCATTCTTAATAGGCTCCAATTATGTCGGAAAGACCCTGCTCCCATCACTTACTGTTTTAAACGGTATCAGCCACATTTGCATTTTAATCAACATGAACCACATATTAATTATAAGAATAAGTCTAAACTAAAATACAAATGTCATGTACTAGGTGCATAATTAATGCCTTGAAATATTATCTAATTATCTCAATGAAAACTTTAAAAAAGAATTCTGCGCAAATTATTTTACATGCTGTATTATTTTGAAATCTAGTCACCTTATATATGTGAAACCAAAACATTTTGGAGCTGGAGAGATGGCTCAGTGGTTAAGAACAACTGAAGCTCTGCCAGAGGACCCAAGTTCAAGCCCTGGGACCTGCATGGTGGCTTGTGACCATCTGTAACTCCAGTTTGAGGGGATTCAAAACTGTCTTTTGGCCTGCCTAGGCGGTAGGCATGCGTGTGATACACAGGTATATATAAAAGCAAATACCCGTACACATAAAGACTAATGATGAGTCACTTATACGGTCTACGTTTTCATGATTTAGTGAGCCATAACAAAGTGTGTGGTTGAGGGAGGGGTTCAGGTGCCAGTTGCTTGCTGTGTGCCCCTACAACAATCACCCAAGTTTTGTGATCCTCCATCTATTTCATGGAGTGAAAGCTAATTATTTATATCATGAGATTAGTACAATTATAAAACAGGTCTAAAAGGTTAAAAAAATGAAAAGAAAACTGGTACTTGACTATGAGAGCATGTGACTGTAATCTTATCATTCTAGAAAAACTAATCTCAATGCAAGTTAAAGCACAAAGCTAACCAATCAGGGTTCAGACGACTAGGGAATTTTCTTCGTGGTTTTTTTCCACAGAAGAAAACATTAACAGTTATACTGCCCTGGAAACTTCCTCCCTGCTTGCTTATTAATGTTACTTACCTCATCCTGTCTATGGTTAACCTGCATTGTGTCTGAACAAGAGTTGTTAAGTACTATCCCGAGATGGTGATTACTGTAACTAACATGGAACGCTGTGAAGTAGTAAGAATGGAAGTTATTCCAATACTTTGTGTCCTGAATAAGCACCGTGGCGGGAAAAGTGCAGTGTAGGTAAGAGCATAGATAAGAGCGTCCTTGTGCTGTTCTATACCGCACAGGAGACGAGGCGGCAACATGAAGAACGGACAGAATGGACACTCCTCAGGTCTTTCAGTTTTGGCCTGTCTCCAGTGGCTTAGTGTCACTAATAGTGCTGTGATATAATACCCCGACTAAAAACAGGAACACACACACACACACACACATCCTTAAGGAGAAATAGTTTATTCAGAGTACAGTTCCAGATAGCTGTTGTCATTGCTGGAAATCACTGTGGGAACCTGAGGCAACTAGTCACATCCAGTCAGGAAGAGACAAAATAAATGCATTCGAGGTTGCCAGCGCTCAGCTCACTCCATCCTTTTTACTCAGTCCAGGGTCCATCCCAGGACATGGTACCAACCACAAGAAGGGTGTGTCTTCATGCTTCTACTAACCCACTTAAGAAATTGTCACAGACATACAACAGGCAATACTAATACAGACAATTCTTTATTGAGATTTCCTTCCCAAGTGATTCTAGTTGTGTCAAATTGAAAAGACTCACCAGAATAACCAGTATTTGAACCCTGTTCATTCATACATATATATGTGTGTATGTGTGTGTGTACATATATACGCATATATGTACATATGTACATATGTACATATGTACATATATACGCATATACATATATATATGTGTGTGTGTGTGCAGTAGAATCTTCTTCCCAACACAAAAGCTAAAAATATCTGATTCTCATTTTTCTGATCTCATTTTCTTTTAAAACTAGGACATGAATTTAGGTCATAGGCTTAAACCCTAGCTTTTCAAAGAAACAGAGAACATTAGCATTTCATTCCAGTGAAGAGACCAGCAGAACTAGTGGGTACTTGTCCCAGGAACAACAGACAGAAGCAGAAATGAGAGATCCAAGAGGTCTGATGAAATAAAGTATATGTTTAAATGCAAAGCAAGGACAAATCAGAACTGCCTGACTTCCTCATCCGAGAGGCAAGAACCCTACGCAACACTCATCCACTTGATGTCTGTAGATTCTTAGCACAGCATGCTAAGGTTAGTCACACATCTACCATCACTGTCACAGTCTTCAGTTAGATGACTCTGTATGAAACCCTAAATGATATTCCCACACATGTCAGAAAAGAGATGCTGGCAAGACATTGTTAGGGAAACCTTCTAATACATTAATCCCCCATCCCACCCACCCACCCTCCCCCCCCCAAAAAAAATAACTCAGAGGAGGTAAGTTGTTAAGCAGCATCCCAGGAAGTTAAATTCACTGGCTCCAACCACCATGCAGGAGAGTGAGTCCACCTGTTGGTACTGAATCCAAATCACTTTTCATTCAATACTCTCCAGTAGAAAGCCAGTGGAAAATTCCTCATATTCACAAGCATTAAATTTGCTCACTTTACAACCTCAGGTGCCACTTCCTGCTGTCATCCAAAATCAGAATGTTCTAATTCCAGTGTGTGCTAAGAGTCTGACATATGAAATTCCCTGTCTGTCCTGTCCCCAGTGTCTGAAGCTGTACGTGGGCTCTAATTTTCCAACACTGTCATTACCAACACTGACTTAACTATGAAAATCCTCAGTCCAGCTAACAAATTAAGTGAGCATCTGATTCATGAGTTATTGTTCATGCTATAACAAATCAGAAACAAAAACTGGACCTGATTTTTAGCAACAGAGTAATATATACATGTGTATGTGTATATATGTGTGTGTGTGTGCATGCATGCATGTATGTATGTATACCTGTGCTCATGGACTGCTCTGGTGATTTCTTTTGGTAGCTTTATAAAATGAATTGATGAGGTTAATCTCAAAAATTCACATGTGGCATCATCCTCAACCCAGTAAGAATTCAAGGACCTCAGAATCTCACAGTGACAATCATCTCTCTCTCTCCTCTGAAATGACTTTGGACAAATTTAGCTGGTTAACACCAGGATGGACAGGCTTGCTACAAGTTGCACACTGAGAAACTGGCCACCAGGACGCACAGCAATGCATATTTTCACATAGCCTCTTTTGGCCTAGGATTGTGACCTTCGAGCATTTTCAGGCTGAGTCAGTCACAGAGACCTGTGGATCCAGAGATGTAGTGTTACTGTCATCAGGGAAGCCTCAGGGGAAATGCACACCATACGACTGCTTCTTTCTCCATAGCATCTGAACCTACTGTATCAGCCATTTCAGCCCATCTAATGGTGGCTGCCAAACAGAAAGGAAGCATTTCATGACTGACATTTGTTCTTGTGATATTTACTGTTTTCTCTTGAAATATAGCACTACAAAATGGCCTATAAGATTCCAACTTTTAAACTGCACCCTACCTAATTAGTTAAGTATAGTAAATGCATTTTGACTTCTGAGTTTATTTCCTGATGTAGTTACGTCAATATTCATTTTACCTATGTGTGCAGCTGTGCATTTGCAAATAAAATTAGATTGTTCTGGTAAATTTAACCTTTGAAAAATACTGACAGAGACTATTTATTTCTGAATTGCTTTTCATCTGAATACTTGTGTATCAACTTTTAAAACTGGTAATATTTTAATCCTTGTTTAAGGTTATGGGAGAGCTGCAAAGGCAAGGGGATTTTATGCACCAAACTCAAGAAGAGAAGGAGCACTTCTGAGCGAGCCAAGATTTCAGGTTGTTTGCTTCCCTGTGATCATTTACTAGGTCTCAGCAAAGGCCAGAGAGGCTTTGTCAAGGATTAATCGAAGGGAAGGTGGAATTAACAGAGCTTTTCAAGGTCACATAGACAAGAATACAAGAATAAAGTCAGGGAAGCTAAAACCACAGTTGCTGCTTACTGTGGAGCATATGAAAATCCACAACAGGAAAAAAGACTGAGGTTGGAAAAGCAGAGAGAATTTCTCCTGCAGCTAAGTGGCTCTCAGGATCCACACTATAGCAAAAGTCAAACAAAATACTTTGAAGCTGGCTAGTTTTGTGTCAACTTGACATGATCTAGAGTCATTTAGAAAAAGGGACTCTCTGTTGAGAAAACACTTCCAGAAGACTGGTCTGTAGGCAACTATGTAGTGAATTTTCTTAATTAGTGATTGATGTGGGAGTGTCCAGCCCACTTTGGTTCATGCTACCCCTTGGACAGTGGTCCTGGGTACTGAAGGAAGGCAGACTGAACAAGCCATAAGAGCAAGCAAGTAAGCAACATTCATCATTGATGACCTCTGCTTCAGTTCCTACCTTCTGGTTCCTGCCTTGAGTTCCTGCCCTGACTTTTAATGGATGACAAGCTGTAAGATGAAATAAACCCTTTCCTCTCCAGGTTGAATTTGGCCGTGTCCTTTCACTAGCATGGAAACTTTATTAAGGCAGATACTAACCTCGTCCTACTGTGGGATCCAGAGCACTTGCTTAGGAGTTCTGGTTTGAATAGGAAAGGCTCCCATAAACTCATATGTACGAATACTTAGACATTAGGGAAGTGTGTCACTGGGGTTTGGCTTTGGTGTTTCAAATGCTCAAACCAGGCCCATTGC